AGGGGGGCCGGGGATCCCCAGCTCTTCCAGCTGCCAGGCCTCACCTGGATGGGAAGCGGGTTTCGTTTCAGTCCCTGGGGTCTGCAGGGCAGCGCTGGAGGAGAGGGATTAGGGTCCCCGCTCGCCTCCCGGGATGCAGGCTGCAAAGGGCGCCCGGGGGGTGGGGGCGGCGGCACGGACTGGGCTCTGCAGCCTCGACCTAGACCAGCGCGGGGCTTAGAATAAACAGACTGGGCCGGGGGCTCGGACGGAGCCACCCGCTCGCTCCGCCTCGGCCGGAGAGGGGTCTCGGGAGGATTCCCCCGTCTCGGGTTGGACCCCGATTGCCCGGGGGATCCCTGGGCGTGGCTTAAAAAGCCCCCGCCCCGCGACGGCGCTGGGAGGCAGGGGCGGGCTCGGAGTCCGCGCGGCCTGCCATTGGCCTATTTAGGCAGCCGCTCCACCATTCCAGGGCGCTCATTGGCTGAGCCGAGAACAGGTTTCTTTTTATCTCGCCGCTCTATACACGCCACTGCCCGCAGTTCATTTGCATAATTTAAAGAGACAGGCGCCGCTCCTTCCACCTGAAACCGGAGGGAAGATAGAAAGGGAGAGTTTATGAGCTCTCCCTGTGTCCATTGGCCTATTTAGGCAGCCGCTCCACCATTCCAGGGCGCTCATTGGCTGAGCCGAGAACAGGTTTCTTTTTATCTCGCCGCTCTATACACGCCACTGCCCGCAGTTCATTTGCATAATTTAAAGAGACAGGCGCCGCTCCTTCCACCTGAAACCGGAGGGAAGATAGAAAGGGAGAGTTTATGAGCTCTCCCTGTGTGCCAGGCACTGAGCAAGGCTCACTGGATGCCCCTATGAGGCTGAGTGAGGGACAGTTAATTTTCATTTTACAGACAGGGGAGGTGAAAGCTCAGAGGGCAAGTTCGTGCAGCCCACGGGCACAGGAAGGCACGGCCCAGCCCGGCCCGCAGGTTCCCTTGGCTTCGCTTGGGTGCAAGGACCCTGAGACTTCTTCCAGGCCTGGCGGTGCCTGATCCAAGCTCCACTGGGTACGGGTCTCCCTGCCGATCCTCCAAGAGTGAGGGGCCAGGCCTGGGACAGCGATCCTCCGCCACACCAGTGCGTGGGCCTGCAGGACGCAGGTCCTGGAGACCCCACCATCTGCCCATTTCTCCTGAACTGGGCTGGACGCCTCCTTGGCTCTCTCTTTCTCGGGGACCGCTTGTTTCTGCCGTCTCCGCCAGACAAACCTGATTCCCATGGCAACCACACACACACACACACACACACACACACACACACAGTATGTCTACACATACCGGAGACTGAACCTTCAGGACCTTGGGATTTCGAAGCAGGCGCAGTGCCATTGACCTAAATCCCCAGCCCTAGAGCAGTTTTATAGTTTTACAGAATTATTATGTAGAATTCTTGTGTAACCCATGCCCGGCTTCCCCTATTATTAATAATTTACAGCAGTATCGTAGTTGTCATTAGGGAACCAACACCGAGACTTGCTGTTTACTGAAGTCCACACTTTATTCTGATTTCATGTTTTTCCTGAGTGCCCCCGTATTTGAGACACGGTCTCACTGTGTACCCTGGGCTGGTCTCGAGCTTCTGGTGATGACAGGCATGAGCCACCATGCCCGCTCTGAATGCCCCAGAAGCCCATAAGGACATTTGGTTCCCATACCTTCTTAGGCTCCCCAGGGATGAAACAGTTTCTCTGTCTTTGACAGCCTTGAGTTTTGTTTGTTTTATTTTGTTTTTCAGTGCTAGAGATGGAATCCAGCACCTCAGGACATGCCAGGGAAGCACTCTACCATTGAATCACATGCCCAGCTCTTTTATTATGAGATAAGCTCTTGCTAAATTGGCCGGGCTGTGCTTGAACTTGGGATCCTCCTGCTTCAGCCTAATGTGTAGCCAAAATGACAGGCATGTGCCACTATGCCTTGCAACCTTAGGGGTGCACTGGCTGGGTGTTTGGCTGCTGTCTTTCCAATTGGGTCTGATGCTTTCCTCAGGCTGGGGCTAAGGCACGGGTTTGGTGAGGCAGCCTGGTCACCACAGAGCAAGGGTGGCCGTGTGATTGGGGCGGCCCCTGATCCTTGGGTTTGGGGCATTTGCACACCATTCAGTGTGGTCCCCTTGGGGAAGGAGTTGTTAGCACACAGCTAAGGAGGGGGCTCTACCCATCCCTTGTGATTGAGAAGGTGTATAAATGCTTTGGGTTTAGCCAGGCATGGTGGTGCACACCTGTCATCCCAGCTCTTGGGAGGCTGAGGCAGGAGGATTGCTGTGAGCCTGAGGCTGGCCTGGGCCTCATAGTGAGACCCTGTCTCAACCCCTCCACCCCAAATGCTTTGGAGCTCTTCCACCTGGCTGGTCTCCTTCCCCTGCATGCATTTTAGTCATTTACATCAGGACAGACTCACGGATATTTATTTTGCCCTTTGGGCTAGAATCCAGCACTACCAGCCCCTCTAGTACATCTCCTTCCTGCTCCTAGAATCCACCTCTCCCCCAGGAACAGCCTCTAGGGTTACAGATTTATGTATTTGTGCATGTGGTACTGGGGGTGGAACTTAGGGCCTTCACACTCAGCTATATCCCCAGGTATCATCCTAGCACTCCCAGAGGCTGAGGCAGGAGGATCACAAGTTCAAGCACAGCCTGGGCAACTTATCGAGGCCCTGTCTCAACATAAAAACAACTGGAAAAAGGGCTGGAGATGTAACTCGGTGGGTAGGTCCTGGGTTCAATCCCCAGTCCCACAAAAAAAGTGGGGGTGGTCAGGGAGGATGGGACACAGAGATCGGACAGTCGATCAAGGAAGGGGAGGCTGGGGGTGCCTGGGTTCCATGGGGGTGGGACAAAAGGGCAGTGCTCAAGGGCTGACATCTTCCCTGAGAGCCACCAGATCCTGTCCACCGCAGCCCCCACAGGCCACGGCCCCGCCCCGCCTTGCGGTCCTAGGATCCAGTCTCCCCGCCGCTGCTCCCTCTGCTGGACGCTGAGGCAGCGAGCAGAACCCAGAACCTGCGCCTGAGGAGCGGCTGGTGGTGGTGTCCAGAGGTGGCGGAGGCCCGGAGCCCCGAGCTCCGCTGGATGGGGATGTCGCCGGTCCTCCTGTCCTCCGGTCCCCTGGCCCGGCTCGCACCCTCAGTCTTGGCCGGCGCTGAACCCCAGCTCTCGGGATGGCTTCCGAGCCGGGCCCACTCGGGTCCCCAGGCCTTGGGGTTCTCCCC